GCTCATCAGCGTGTTTGTTGATCACTTAACACACCCACGAAACATGCTGGAAGGCGGGAGAAAATACCTTATCGACTTCCATTTTAAAGGCGAACTGGGTTTTAGGGGGCCCAATTGCCGAATCCTGGGTAATGAGAATCATCACCCTTTTTTTAGTTCATCGGCCACTTGTAGAACATTAGCTTTTTTTCGAAGCAGGCAAGATGAAAAATGAGCAAACCCCTTCACTGGGAATCGAACCACTTTTGATACCATTAAAAATAACATAGAATCTTTAAAGGAAATCCACACTAGTAATAAATCCTATACCTTCCTAATATGAGTATGCTGAAATATGTCCAAATTATTTTGGAGAAGGTAGGCCAAGGGTCTTCATGATTATTATAAACGATATGCAAGACTAGTTTCAAAGCTTGAAATATAGAACCTTCTTCTTCAGCTACAGAAGTACAAATGGTGAAACAGAAGCCCAATAATAAGATAAGATAAAGCAATGAGTATGAGAGAAAGGCAGTCAAGCTTTTAAGGAAATTATTTCATAGTTGTTTTCATTCTTCATCAATAGATGATGCCAGGAGCTTGACTTCCTTCTTCCTCTCTTATCACGTAATATTATCAACTTCTGTAATTGAAGAAGAATGTTCTATACTTAAACATTTGAAACTAGTCCTGCAAACTTATGAATATTATGCTGATTCTTGTTGCATTAACTCCTCCAATAATCTTTATTTGACGTGGTATTTTAACTCAAAGACACGATTAGTTGAATTAGGAAAAAATACGTTTAACTCATTACTGATTTTTGTTTTTTTGTTAACAACTTCTTTATTTAACCTTTACAATTACAGGTAGATAAGCTTAATTTGTGGTGAGTATTTGTTTAAAACTGTCCCAGTTTAAGGGGGGGAATATTATGTACTACTTACTGTATTTTATGGTAGTTATAAAAAATTTAAATACTCAAAATGAAATCAGCTGCATTGCATTATCTACCTATTCCGTCTCTCTGAAATATATTTTTAAAAAAATTGTAACTTTAAATTATGTGAATGAAAAAAGATTTAAAGTGAAATCAAATTTCTTTCCAAGGAAGTTTTTAATTCCTTTCCAGGTTTTGAGACAGATGGTTTATGATATCATTATTTTGATGTAACAAAGTTGTGGTTGAATTTAATATTCCAGCTGAATATTTTTTCTTGTTTCTACATAATTTGGTATTTCTATTACAAAGAATTATTATCTCCTTTATTTTTTATGAATGTTAAATTAACATATAATTTACAAAATTAGTTTACATATATATAAATCTAAAAAAATAATAGACACTATAAATAAACACTCAAAAATAAACAGCCTAAAAACCACATCTGCTCTTTTTCACCATCCTATCATATTTTGGTAATTAAACAGAAAGGGTTGATAAAAAATTGAAAAATTTTTTAAGTGGTTGACTGTTAAAAAAGTTCGAGGCCTTCTTCAGCATTGAAATATATTTAAATAGAAATTAAATTTCAAAAACATTTTTTGACTCCAAATTTCCACTGAATGACTTTCACCACTCACTTGGAATTGTAATTAGCCCTTTATATATTACAAACCACAGTTACCAAGTAAATAAAAAGAATTGCTCCTCTGATTGCCAGTCATTATTTTTTTTAATTTTTCCATTGTTTTAAGTTTTTGTTTTAATTCTTAATTAATAAACTTCCTTTCATGATTAGAATATGAACAGACTAGACTGCATAATTTTCCAGCACAGGCTGCCCAACATGAATTTAAAAACAGGGAGGTTTTTTACACTGCAAGGTGATACCATATCAAAGGAGCTCCAAACCGACTTCAATTCACTTTATAATGCATGGTTCAGGTTACTGAACTATATTGTAATGCATGGCTCAGGCTATTGCATAATTTTGATGTAAAATACATTAGCATTTAACTAGATGTTCTACATTTTATGTTCATTGGGTATTTTATTTTCTAATTTTCTTACATTTTATATCACGAAAATTTGAGTAGTGAAAGAAAGCTTTTATATTTTATCCTTTTAAATACAATGAAAATAATAATTACTGCATATGTTATATGTGTGGTTACACTTAATAATGTATCAAATTTTGAAGCCAAATAAAATTAAATACAAATATTGAATGATTACAATCAATTTCCAAAGTCCCACACAAAGAACCCGCATCTTAGATTGCAAATTTTCACAGATTAGTTGCATGGTTTTACCGCTGGCTTGGATTAGACTTGAGAAGGCCCTATATTATTTGAGATATGGGGGGCCTTTAAAGTCCAGATATTAGATGAACAAGTGCCAAATATGATTTCGAACTTTATTTAAATCATCTTTGTTACCATCAACATGGTAAAGTAATCATCTACAAGCAGAACCATCCGGAGTTTCAAAGTTTCACCATTTTGATTCATAATAATGCATGTATATATCAGCCAGGATGGGACTAAATGGCTTTGCATGGCTATCCCTCAGTTTGCTTGTAATATTATTTTGAAAACCAAATGCGTTTGTTTTTCAAACAGAGTTGGGTAAGGGGAAATTATTAATTTCGATGGCAGGAGAATGAAATTTTATGAAGTCTAGTTTCTAAACAATCTTAATACAACCTCCTCTGGAACATTGTTGAATAAGGATTTACTCAAAGAAACCATTAGTACATTTCCAGAGAAATACTTTAAACTTTTTTTTATAAACTCTAGTGAACTGTTATGGTGTAAATGTTCTTACCTAATAGAGTTGAAAATCTGGAAACTAAATATTTAGCTAATGGGTACGAGGCAGTGCCTAAATTTGATACAATAGGGCAGAAAGGAATTCCACTTTTATGAATTTGGGGAAAAGCATTTAAACTGGCACAATTTGCAACAGATTGCATAAGCAATTATTTTAAGTTGGTCAAAAGGATTTTTGAAGATTTGATTGCAGTTTTTATTTTTGAGAGGATCAAAGGCGAAGGGTCTTTAGGGATCAGATTATATGGTCCTTCATTTAAGAGTTTTATGACCTATCAGTAAGTCGTTTTTGTCCATGACGAATATCTGGCTGCCTTAGTCGGCCTTTGAAATGATAATGTACGAGTTAGAATGAATTTCGCGCATCTTAGCTGTTTCTCCCGCATTCTGATTTGGTTTCAAAGGCTTATTGTTGAATTTCACATTATGTGCAAAAGATGCCTAATCATTTTTTTCTGCATATCTGAAACTTTACTGAATTCGAAAGTTTTTTTGATAGGAGCCAAAATCTGGAATCGAGGGTTTTAAGGTTTGTGAGAAATTAACTGTCTTGTTCTTCAGCTAAACTAACACTAGAAATATTAACCATTGGCTTCATATTTAAATGGGAAGATTTTTTGAACTACTTTGTTGTTAAGTTGGAAATCTCTAAAAGGAGTTTTTGGGATTTAAATGCAAGGGTGTTTTTAAAACAGTTAACCACATTCTAAGTTCTATACAAAGACTGTTTAATTACATTAATTTGGATATGAAATTAGCAGTTCCAGAGCTTATACATCTGAAGTTCAATTTGGATAACTGGTTGACGGTTATCCTATATGCCTGAAGCAAGCAGTTTGCAGTTAAAAATTCTTGAAACGTGATTGGAAGGAATTTTGATTAGCATTTGATCTAATGAAATGGGGGGGGGGGGTCATATTTATGTTTTACACTTACTACCGTATGGTTGTAAGGTGATTCAGAAATTTTCTGTTTCACTAACCAAGTCAGCCTTTATTTCATTCCTTTGTTTCCATGCACTAAAGTTTTGCTCCTTGGCTCTTGATCAAGAACAAGGTTTTAAAGCAGTTGCTATGACGGGGGCCTTCACCCAGCCTATTAGCCAGCAGTTAAAAATTCTCAATCTCAACACTACCATATATCCCCCAAGCAAAAGGCATACTCGTGTCCTTAGGAGATTAATATGAATTCTGTTGTCATTCCTTTCTTTCCATCAGTTAGCAGGAAAATTGCATGCGTTTAACAGAAATTTAACTTCCGGGTCGTTTATTGTCCTATTAAAAAAAAAAAATTCCGAGTTCCATATTTAAGGATCCCATTCTAAATATTAATTTCTAGGACATTTACAAGATTCCTTGCCAATGTGGTTTAATTTACATTTGTCAAACTAAGAGAAGCTTAAAATTTCATGTTAAGGAACATGAGAGATATTTTAGGAAAAAGGAAACACAAAAGTCCTCTGTTGCCCAGCATTGTTGGTCCGAAAATCCCACTTTTCATTTTCTGCAGCCATTCAAAAACCATCTTCTATTGGTGAATTAGATTTTCTAGAGGTATTTACCATTCAAACAAATCTTTCTGTTCTAGTTAATGACCCTATTCCAATCCATCTTACCTTCAAGCATTTAAGGGAAAGCTTTAGTTTTCTTTTTCAATCAATAGATGGTACGCAGTGCTAACTCCTGTCCAGCCATTCTATCTTATCACTATATATTAGCTCTTCATTGGAACTTTGCAGCTGAGATGATGGTTTGGTAAACACCAAAACAGCCTGTGAAAATTTGCAAATATAATGCTGATTTTTTGTTGTTGGCTTCTAAAATGTTCGCAGGTTATTTTACTTTGATAAACTGCTTTGAACCTAAAATCTACAGATGTCTGCAGTATATAAGACAAACTCGATTAAATGACTTATATGATAAGATGAATAACATGCAACAAGAAAAAAAAAAAAATACAATTCCGATGAAGTAGAATTTAATTAATTCTTCTGAAAATCATAATAGTTGGGGGAATGGAATTTGCCTAATTTAAGTTTCATTCATTCAATAAATTTCATTTTATGCTGGAAAACATTTTCCTTAATAAAGGCTAAAGATTAAAAACTGGGAGATTTTGTGAAATACCGGAAGATATGATCTGAAACTTGGAGTTTTCTGATAAAACTGGTAGAGTTGGCAGCAATGTTATAATACAACATTTGGCACAAACATGAGAAAAAACAGAAAATGCACATTAGTAAATACCTAATTCTTCTATCTGTTTTCCAGAAATTCCATTACTGAGATCCACAGGCAGATTCTGTAGCATTATTTCTTCACCAGACTTGATCAGATGGCTGTCGTGAACAACAAAACAGCTCATGAAATCAGAAAAAGACATTTCGGTTGCATTGTCATCGGTGAAACGCACCTGTCGCTTCAACACGGGCACAACCGTTTGATGAAGCATAACTAATGATAAAATGCGACCGACTTCTGCCTCAGAAATACAAAGGCTGCCAGAATACATCTGAAAGATTTGTTTTTTGTTAATTAAAAAAACATGGAACATTTACCAACTAAATTTCAAAAAAGCAAGGCCCAAGAAATGTGCATGACTTGATGTCTCCTCTAAAGTGAAAAAGGGCATTCATTATTTTTACCTCCCAACAACCTATATACCTAAGTAAGGGTGGTGATGTTTATGATCCCAAAACTTGTTTTCAGTGAATAAACCTGAACGAGGGTCCATGCAGCATGTTTTGACTATTTTTAGAATGATGCTTATCTGTTTGTGTGTAACAATTTTTTTCATTTACAACAAGCCTCCTACAAAACTTCTAAAGGTTACCATTTTGCACATTTAAGCTGTATGCATTAATGCAATTAGCTGATTAAATTTGGCAAAAACTGGACAAACAGAAGTTGTACTTTACTTGAAATCCATAACAGTTTTTAATGAAAAACTACATTAAAATATAATCCAAAACTTTTCAAGTTTAGTACCTATTTAAGATTTTTATATCAATGGCAGCAAGCTATTAGGATCTTGGCTAAAATGGATAAAACTAAAAGTGATACTTTACTTGGAGCTCTAAAAACACTTTGACAAAAAAAAAAAAAAAACTTTTAAGCTTTAAATTACGTAAGTGATTGAAAATAACATATTAAATTTATAAGCATTAAATGTATTCTTGGAATTATGCCAAATGCAATGAGAATAAGCTCTAATGAAGACAAGCCCTTGTTAGAACGCAATTAAATGTATTAGCTTCAATCCTCAATGTGTTCTTTTCACTTTTGTGTCGAATCACTTTTCAGATAAAAGAATGGTACCACTGAATATTATTGATATGCATTATTTTTAGAGAAATATAGTAAATAGAAAAAATTAGGTATATAAAAAGAAATGCATGGTTACATGAGATGCTTTATCAGAAATTTTATGCTGCTTTTAAAAATTTTGCTATGATGCTTTTCAAAGATATGCTGCTTTTAAAAATTTTGTATGTGTGTTTTGTCATTGATTTATTACTTTAAAACATTCTATGAGCAGAGGATATACTATGATTGCTGCAATAATTTCAAATCGAAGTATGAGAACGGACATGTACCTGAGCACATACAGATATCATTATCCACTGTATGGGAGAAAAGAATAATAAAAAATGAATATTCTTTATAATTAACATTTAGCCATAAAGCTTAGAAACAAATTAGATTTTATTTACCAATGATCAACCAGGAATGATAGCTGGTTAAGCTGCTTTACTTAAAGCTTGTTGTTATGCTGTTACATTGCTGGAGGTCAATTGTTGGTAATTATTATAATCGTGAAAAATTTTAGGTATCACATTTAAAAAAAAATATCCATTTTGAGTGTTTTTGAATCCATCTGAATGATATTTTTGCGCAACATCTGTATTTATGGACAGAATAAAGGTCTCTTTTTCCCAAAACGGATAAAAAATGGCTTGAAAACGGATTCAGAAAATGTTTTTTTTGTTCTTTTTCTATCTTTTTTGCTAATAGCATATCTAAAAAGATCTGCTGGCAATTGCATTAAAATTAAGCACACCCCCCTTACTAGTTCAATTATTTGCGTCTGAAACAGACTGAATCCCCCATATGTTTTTATTCACAGAGCTAATATCCTATCAATACTAGGAGATGTACTCAAATTATTGACCTCTATTTTTTGTCCTTATTTTTTAAAATACAAAGTTTTACATTACTTTATTTTGGAGGACCGGGACGATACAATGAAATAATATTAATAACGTCATCAATCCCGTTAACTTGAACTTGTTTAAGAATTTTTATCATTCCCTTTGACTCTAATTGAAAAATCCCATTTGTATATCCATTAGATAGCAATTGATTAGTTTTAGCATTTGCTAGTGGAATATTTTTTAAGTCTATAGTTTTTTTATAATCCAAATAAATCAAATTCTGTTGGCATCTTCTTGCATCATTGTTAAGTTTTAAGTTTTTTAACCCTAATAAATCAATTTTAGTTAGCCCCCAATTTCCAAGATAATTCTCTGAGAATTGAAATTTGGAATAAAAATCTTTCATTAGAACAGGAAACATCTAAATTACTGATAGGCGTCATCGTTAATTAACTACTCTCCAGCCGCATGGATCCCTATTTGTCTTGGCAGGTTTTCAATTTTAGTGGCTATTTTAAATAATTCTTGATTTTGGGGCGATTGATTAATAATAGCTTTAAATTTAACAACTTTTTTATAAGCTTCATTTAAACTCATATTAATAGGAATATTTTTCGATATTTCATCTGCTTGACTAGGTAAATAGTTTAAATAGCCGAGAAAACAAAAAAACTCTTTAATTGAAGAACTAGCTTTAGTTATTTTTTGAAAATGTTAGTTAATTCGAGCAACTTTATTTTTGTCTTACCCTAAACTTATCGATTCAGTAGTTACTTAGCCCTCTCAATTCTAATCGTAACGGGTTGTCTTGAATAATCCAAATCTTATATCGAAGGCACCGCAGTTCCGAAAAGGATTTAAAAATCTTTCAAACAACAAATTAAATTTGGATTTGGGTTCCCTACTCTACTTCGCTAATTTTTAAATACTAAGCAACCTAAAGATAAGAAACCGAACACCTACCAGGGCGCCGAATCAATATTTATTTTCTCTTGCAAACTGGCATATATCACTAATAATTAAGAAATAATCAATAAAATTCAATTTATTTATAACATCAAGTTCATATCTCACACGGTCTAAATATATTAAAAAATCTTTATTTTGTTCTAATGGAATAAGAGCTTTTCTTATTTTTTCTTTTAATATTTTTTTACTAGAAACATTTTTATAAAATTTTTTAAAAAATTAAAACAAAAATCAAAATAGGCAAGCTGTTGTTTATCGCGATGATATTTTCTAATTCATGATCTATATTTTTTTTGTTATTAGCATTAAGAATACCTGAAGTTTGATATGGTTTTGGAAAATTAAAATTCCTTTTTTTCCATTTTATCATCGGTGGGGGTTTGATTACAAGCACTTTTAAAATATCATTTTCATCTTCTGAATATAGAATTTTAGTTTCTTGTACTTCAACATCTTCTAATTTAAATGCTATTTCTGTTTTTTCAAACTTTTTATTATCTAAAGAGAAATAAAAAATATCTTTAGAAGTTAAATCATTTAATCTAACAGGATTATTTGTTCAGTATAGAGAAGAAATTTTTACTAAGAATTGATATCCATAATTATTTTTGGCAAGCATTATTATTCTTTTGTTTTCAACTTCAAGATCCAAACCTATTATTGGTTTTATATTATTTTTTTCGCATAAAAAAATAAATTCACTAACACCAAATAAGTTATTTTTATCTGTTATAACTAGTGATTTCAATTCATTTTTTAGTGCAAAGTCAATTAGGTCAGAAATTTTTATGGTTGAACTTAATAAAGAGTACTCGCTATTTAAATGTAAAGAAGGTAACTTAAACATATTGAAGGATGTTATTATTTTAGTTTTTTATTCTTATTATTGAATTAAAGTTTTTAATTGAGTTTTGTTATTAGTTAGGAATTCTAATAAATAATTCAATGCTTCTTTATATTGAAAAGACATAAGCTTTGTAGTTGCTGTATTTAGGGCAAGATGCAATTGTTCATCATTTGTTCTATAAATATTTAATTGTGTAATTAAATTTTTGGTTATATCAAAAATTTTTAAAGTTGTAATAGTTGAATTTAAAACATTTACAACTTCAAGTCAAACAATTGGTACTTTCCAATCATCTTTCCTAATTTCCTATTTTCCTAATTATTTTGGGTTGATTTTTGATTTATGTATTCATCTATTAAAAAATCTTTTCTTCCTAACAACTAGGAGCCCCTATCTCCCAAATTTTTTTTTTTTATAGTCAATTGCTAAATTCCTATTATGTATTCGTGTATTAGTTGGCACAGTAATTTAACTTTGTCTATTACTTCTATAATTTCTTTTGATTCTTAAAATTTTCAGTTTTTTTCGAAGAGCCACTTAATTCATTATTCCCGGTAATATATATCTAAATATTTCCTTAATTTATGTTTTTAAATCATTAATTATTTCCTAAAAAATTTTGCAAAGCTCAAATTGATTGTTGCTTTCCTAACATAGAAATAAAAATCCAAAAGTTATTTTTTTTGAAAATATCAAATGTTCATTGCAATCGCTTTCTTTTTTTTTATTTAAATTAAGTCCATTATTAATAAAAGCTAAATTCATTAGTCAATGATACTTTTTTATGACGCATGTACACCATTAGTATTTCCCTTCCAGATAGATCAGGTTAGAACGCCTCCGCGCTCGAGACCAGTGCTGCACTGCGTTGAGAACTAGCCCCCCTCGTACAGACATCTATTCGCGATACCCACTCAGCCCTTTTTACTATACGATGCAACCTCTAGTCTAAGTAATCTGTGACCTCGCGCATAGGCACGCAACATAGCATCTTAGGAACAACGTTTTCCCCTTCCCCTCTTCAATCAAGACAACGTTGAATCGCCCCCTCGAGATTAGAATGCCCCCTGAAGACTTGAATCCCTTCGAAACTTACAATGTCCCCCTCCCCACACTGTCCCCTTCCCCCCCCCCCATTTTCTTAAAATCATTTATATCGAGATAAATGTTAAATAATTTTGCCTTTTAAGTCCATCAAAAGACCACTATGTAATTGTTTGTTGCTCTGTTATTAGGCAATTAATGTTTTTTTATAAATTTCCGATAATATGTGGTAATAGAGGTTAGAGAATGATTATCCCTAATTTCTTATTACTGTTTTATATTTCATTATTCCATTCGCCTTACTTTAGGGAATCATTTTTTTCAGAATGCACCTTTTGTTAGATAAAAACACTTTCTTAACAAATATATATATAACTTACATTAATTTTTTGCTTCATAATTTTAAAATAAAAGTTAACATCTTATTAGTTGGTTTTTTCTTTATATAAAAATCCAACTCAAATTGTTCATGTTAATTAATTGTTTTTAATTTGGTTGAACTTATCTAGAATGTTCTCATCTAGATTAGGTAAACTACTTTGTATTTCTAAATTTTCATACACATTATTTTGTTTTTGTTGAAGCCAACACTAAACCTTGCTTTTTCCCCTCTTTTTTTCTTTTTTCCCCCATTTCATCTTGCTTTTCTTCTCCCTTCCCTTCGCTTCCTCTCTTGCT